GTTAGAGTGTCTGCCCGTGCTGGGTGTATGTTGTTTCCCGCAGACTGTGTGGATGAGTGTTAGTAAACAAATCATAAGTTAGAAGTGGAATGGTATCGGATGTTCAAGAAAAAGAAGAAAGGTGTTCAAGCATCCGTAGTGTGGATGAGCAGAACAAACCTAAATGTTGGTGGGCAGGTCATACATTCGAATTGCAGTGGTATCAGACATGTGTATGATTTTTTTTGCTTTGATTTTGTGGACAAGTGTGTGTTGGTAGGACCCGAGATGCTCCCGCATAGTCCACATGGTTTAGTTTTGCGGTGTGTGTTTGTACCATCACTCCACATAGTATGACGCACCCCACATTATGCACACCACCAAGTCCACAGGGTACCGCTCCACTTACACATTGTCACCCAGCCCACATAATGCCACCAAGCTCACGCAGTACCACCTAATCATGCCAAGGGTAGAGTTGCACCTAAGCTCTGTGCGTGTGTGTGTGTTTGTGTGTGAGTGTTTTGGAGGGCCGTGTATGTGTTTGTGTGTGGCCACGTGTGCGAGTACCGTCCAGTCCGCATAGTATGACCCGCCCCACATGGTATTGCACAGCCCACGCGGTGTCACCCAGGTGACATAATGCTGTCCGTCCCTTATTTCCGCCCTGCAGTGCATAGGGCCGAGTTGTACCTGGCCCAGGGCGCATAGTGTCACCCACCACATAATACCAACCAGACCACACAGTACCGCCTATGTGTGTGTGTGTGTGTGTGTGTGTGTGTGTGTGTGTGTGTGTTTGTGTGTTTCAGGCAGTCTTTGCTTTTTTCTTTTTTCTTTTTGTGGCCGTGTGTTTCTTAGTGCTATCTGTTCCATGTAGTGTAATGAAGCCCACATGGTACAGGCAGCTCACACAGTGTCACCCGAGGCACATAATACCGCCCAGGTGCCCACAAATCCCACATTGCACGACCTAGCCCACGTAGCATGACCCACCTATCCTGCATTTATGACCCGCCCAGGCCAAATTGTACCATCCACTCCACACATTATGACCCACCTAACATAGTGCACCACAATACCACCCAGTCCACATGGTGCCGCCGAACTCTCCTATTGTGTCCCTTTTTTCATGCTTTCTGGGAACCGTGTGTGTGTGTGTGTGTGTGTGTGTGTGTGTGTGTGTGTGTGTGTGTGTCTAGAGTACATGGTGGTGCTACCCCCCCCTGCCCCCATAGTACCGCACTCGATATATGTGGCACTGCATCTGACTCACATGGTGCCACAGCGGATCTACATAGTTGTTATGAGCCTGGCCAATTTCGAAGTACAAATTCTTGAGAAAGCACAATGCCGTCCAATTGCAAAAGAGATCATGAACTTGAGAGGAGAGCGAGGGAAATACGAAGGAGGAGAAAGAAAGAAGAAGAAGAGGATGTACACCAGCAAAGACCAATGATAATCCCTTTCTTCTCGCCAACCACTCTCCTCCTCCTTTTCTCCTCCCCTCTTTATTCACAATAAATAATAATAATAATGTTGAATGGCTGAACCGGAATCAATGTCCGAATCCCTCTTCTATTACAGGGATAACATGAGGTCCACCATAGCCATGTTCATTCTTCTCTTTCCTCTTCCAAAGGCCGAGGCTATGTTGGACTGCTAGGGCCTTGCCCTGCTGTGCAAAAGACAACTCAAAGCAGCTATGGTTGCTCTGGCTCAGGCCGCCATGCTTGAGAGAAGGTTAACAACAGTCCTATTTTTCATCACCACTTCAGGACACCCTTCACCACTTTAGGATGCAGCCTGCCTAAACAGGTGGCTTTCAGGGTCTTCGGACCTTTCACCACTTTAGGACCATTCAAGTCTGAAAATCGTGAATAGTCCTGAAGTGGTGAAAGCTCCGAAGACCCTGAAAACCACCTGTTTAGGCAGGCTGCATCCTCAAGTGGTGAAGGGTGGTTTTCATGGTCTTCGGACCTTTCACCACTTCAGGACCATTCAGGATTTTCAGAGTGCCCAAAACTCTCACTTGACCACTTGAGGACACCCTTCACCACTTCAGGATGCAGCCTGCCTAAACAGGAGGTTTTTAGGGTCTTCGGACCTTTCACCACTTCAGGACCATTCAGGATTTTCAGACTGCCCAAAACTCTCACTTCAGAATTTTCATTCCTGAATTTTCAGCTACCCGATAACCGCTTGTGACATGCCTGGCTCTGCCTCGAAGCTTCTTGGTGTAGCTCTACCCCAACTGGGGACTTCCAGATGCAGCGCCCACCAAGGTGATGAAGATGGAGTCCACCATAGCCAGGTTGGAGTCCACCATAGCCAGGTAAGTAACTCTGGTGCTCTCTCCCTCCCACTCCTCGCCTTCCTCCTCCTCCAGCACGAGCTCCACCACCATAGCCACGGTGGAGGGAGCCGGGCGCTCCTTCCCCCAGCAGTGCTGCTCCAGCCAGCACTCCAACCAATGTGTCGCCAAACTTGCACATCGTAGAATGAGGAGCACTTCGCTGCTCCTGGAGATATAGCGGCCTGCTTGCCTCTTGAGCGGTGACTTCCAGTCCGTGCGGCCTCCAAGCAACCGGTACCTTCTCCCTTTCGGGGGGAAACATCATTGCAGACTCTGATATTGCCCGTACATGCCCTAAACTCAGACTACTTGGACTGTTACCCGCGTAGACCTAGCCTACAACTACTGGGCCTCAAGAATGCCAACTTTTGTCTTCTTCTGCTCAGCCTCGAGTGCCCGACACATCTACCGCTGCTTGGTATGGCACCGGCCTACCTGCTACTTAGTGTTTTTCCGCTGCTCTAAGTATCACGGGTCTCTTTCCTCGCCACTTGAGAGTTTTCCCTGCTGCAAACGTCAATGTCATGGCCTCCGGGCCTCCCACATGAAGAAGTACCCTTGCGGGGCACACACACACTTAAACTGACAAGCACTCGACAGGCACACAGACCAGCAAGCACACACACACACAGACTTAGAAAATCCAGCAAGGCATACATTCGATTGGTAAAACTCAGAAATCAGCTGTGTCTCAGTCCGTGTTTGGCAGGTCCTTACTTAGTACTGCATGACACAAAATGGACAACACCACTGCCAACCCGCATAGTTCCAGAAAGTTGTCTGCTGACTCAGTGTCACAGCACACAATGTCACCCCTTGTGTCAGAATAATCACTGATCTGAAAGTTCAGCTCCGTTCTCAGTTCCCCAACGGAATCTATATATTCCTTTTACTCCACCGTATCATCATCAAGTCCAAGCCAACCAACACCCAACAATGCTGCTCCTCACCATTTCAACGAAGCATTGTCATCTGGCAAGCAGTCGTCTCTCCAGCGCTCAAGTCTTCCACTTAACGTCAACACAATCTTTGGAAATGATAATATAGCGGTCCTTGGGCTGCAATTAAGCCTTCAGCGGTGAGAAGAGAGCCAGGTAAGCAGACCTGACGTGCTCCTCTCTCTCTCTCTCTCTCTCTCTCTCTCTCTCTCTCTCTCTCTCTCTCTCTCTCTCTCTCTCTCTCTCCGTGTGTGTGTGTGTGTGCGCGCGCGCGCGCGCGTTGCATGCCTAGCGACAGGTAGGCAATGCTCAGAACCAAGGATGCACCAAAGTGAAGAGAGATGCAAATACAGTGCAGCAGAAGTCCGAGAATCAATCAATCGTGCTCATACGACTTGGATGTGGACAATTCACTCACCATCACCACAAATCATGCACAGAAGTTCCTCCTCGCGAATCGCATGGATGGTGAAGCAAGAAGAGGAACAGTAAATCTGAGAGAAGATGAGAGAGGCGGCTCTGAACACATTAGTCAACCTGATAATAGTGCCCCTATATTTGAAATTGTCTCTCAATGGAATGGCAAATCCGAACCTGGGAGGAGTCCTAAAGTAGTTGCCAAATGGTAGGAGAATAAGATCTCTCTCTCTCTCTCTCTCTCTCTCTCTCTCTCTCTCTCTCTCTCTCTCTCTCTCTCTCTCTCTCTCTCTCTCTCTCTCTCTCTCTCCACCGTGAACTGCCGGAGGTTGCGAAGTGGTGCCTGGCCACGGCCGGTGCACAGCTGGAAGCTATGACGCTCAGGTAAATGCTCCTTTGGCCGGTATATAGTTTGCAAGCTATGGCGCTCAGGTAAATACATCTTTGTCCCGTGCCACTGCAGACCTACACTCTAGGGTAGCACCTCCTCTAAGCTCCGTGAATTTAAGGTTGACTTGGGGAGATGGGCCAACCGAGCACCAGACCGACCGGCCGACCAACCATTGGACCAAGTAAGTGTGCCAGCAAGCAACCGACCGAGAGACCGAGGGGACGATCGAGAGACTGAGCCAGCGAGCGACAAGGACACCGACAAACTGATGGACCAAACGACTGGCTGATTGCCCGACCGACTGACTAACTGACTGATCGACCGACCGTCCGATCAACTGATGGACAGACTGACAGACAGCTTGATGGACGGCCGGGCTAACGGAGAGACAGACCCAATATTCCGGTTTTGGCTGTGCATTTGTCCGACAAATAAAGTTTTCTGATATTTTTCTCTTTTCTTTCTTTTTTGCAGTTGAAGCAGCCTTGATTTGAGTTTGTTAGAGGAAACTGTTTGAAGGCGAAGAGATGAGGTTGATAAAGTTGTGTGTACCTTGTAACCCTCCTTTACTACATTCCTGTAGGCTCTGTGCTGTAAATTGGCAAATCAGTAAATTTGTTTGATGGACTCCGACGCTGTGAAGATTTTCCCATTAAGAAGTTGTGTCCAGGTCTTTGATCTTTGACTGATCGTGAACTTAGGGTTTACAGTTAAGTGCTTTGCAGCTTGTTTCTACATTTGGTGCCTCTTGCGAGTCACAGATTGACTAATGTGCTTATGACTCTTTCTTGGTACAAATGCTGCAGACTGAGCGTACTGTTAAGTGCTTTCCAGCTTGTTCCTACATTTGGTGCCTCTTGCGAGTCACTCACATATTGATTTATATGCTTGTGGCTCTTTCTTGGTACAAATGCTGCAGGCTGAGTTTATGGATCGGGACGAGAAGCCGTTGCCAGTGCACCTTTCCAAATTGGCAACGTTGGCTGAAAAGGTATGTTTGTTCCTCTCTGCAATAAATCAGTCTACTGTACTGCCTCAGCCTGCCTGTGATGTGGGGGTCGGGCGTAGGGCGGTTGTAGAGGGGGTCTGCAGGTGTAGGCAAAGGTGATATTTACAGGCATGAAGCAGTCTCACTGATCTCTATACATCATCACGTGTGACAGTACACTTGAAAGACAGCAAAGCATCTCTCTCTATACACAGTTGAAGTAAAAGATGGAGAAACGATAAAGAAGCAGAGAGCCAGTGTGCATGAGAGAGAACATGCACAAAGGGTGTGTGTGTGTGTGTCTCTCTGTGTGTGTGTGTGTGTGTGTGTGTGTGTGTGTGTGTGTGTGTGTGAGAGAGAGAGAGAGAGAGAGAGAGAG